TATACAATAAAGTGAAAAGAAAACACTGGCATTTGTGAGGAACGCAAGCAAAAAACAAAAACGATTTGGAAAAATCAGGAGGAGCAGATTTAAATTACATATATATATATATATATATATATATATATATATATATAAGTCTGATGCGATGGACAACCCTCCTGCCAAGCGTAGAACCTAATGAAATGAAAAATGAAAAAGACCTATGTTCAGCAGTGGACAGTTAATGGCCTGATATGTTGATGATGATGACATATTGAATTATTGACGGCAGTAAGAACGTCTAAGTTCGTATTAGTTTCAGAAAATTTAGTCAAACGCTTCAAGCGAATTTCCACAAAGTTTAAATACATTTTGCATAACAAATTTGTGTCCGGGATGCATTCTTGATGTACAAACTTTTCGAAATTAAAATAAGTCTTGGTTTATTCATACCTAATCAAATAATTTAGTTTGACATACTGGTTTTTAATTAGGTGTACCTTGAATTGGGTTTCAGATTGAAATAAAAAATATGTTTCATATTTATTGGTTCCTACTTAACCCAATTTTTAATAACCAATCATTTGAATAGGTCAAAAATTTTTTTTATAAAATATATGTTATAATGATATAGATGTTATTTGTATATATATCACATTTGCTTGCTTCATGTAAGTATATTTATACCATCATAATGTACAGTTGTGCTTATCATAAACTGAAGTGGCAATGACCTGATCACATAGTTCGAAGAACCAACTATTTATTTATTTATTTATTTACAAGAAACATGGTAAGTGTATAGATGTTACAATAGGTATAAGTCCTAATATTTCGCCATAATTAGGCATGCAAATATTAAAACTTAAAAAGAATAAATGTTAAATGAGTCATTAAAATTCCAAATGTTATATAAAAAAAAATACATCAAAAATGTCAGACACTTGTCAACAATAAAAAAAAGAAAGAAATGTCACTGTCAAATCATGAACTATTGATAACGGCTGCATTGTAACACGATAGGTAATTCAAGTAGGTTGTTTACCTATTTGTATCAAAAACTCTTGCATACTGTAAAAGGACTCTTCAACAAGCCAATGTTTGAATGAATCTTAAAATTTTCTAAATGGGAGTTCTCGTGTACTTTTTGGTATTTTATTATAAATTTTGATTGTCATTGAATTGATGGGAGAAGAGAAATTCTTCAGTGGCGACCCCGTACGGGCCAATTCGGTGTAGGACGACCCCCCATTAGATGGAGCGACGACCTCGAATACATTACAGGGAGTTAGTGGATGCAAAGTGACGCGGGACCGTTCTTTATGGCGGTCTTTGGGGGAGGCATAGGCCTCCCCCAAATTATATAAATATAAAAATATTAAACATAGGTTTAATAGTGGACGAATAATAGCTGAAAAGATGATCGTAAATGTGCAGTAGTTTTGTAATGTATAAATTGTATAATTTGTGAGTCAATATTGACATTCGGGGGGAAAGGGATTGTTAGTAATGGAGACTGAGAATCCCATTGCTAGCAGTATACCCAACCAGGTCGACCTCGTGGTTCTCCCTGGAAACTATCATGGTTAATTCCTGATGAATTCATCATGATGGGCTAACTGGTCTGTTTTTATTCTCATCTATCATCCTTCACTGGTGAACCGCCAGCGTATCCCGTTAGCGCAGGCGGGGTTACCATACCATTTTCACCAATCAAAAAAAATATATATACTTTTTTTTTACAACACAGGGGGCAAACGAGCATGCGGCTCACCTGATGGTAATTAACTACCGCCGCCCATGGTCACCCAAAACACCTACGGCATTGCAGGTGTGCTGCCGGCCTTTTAAAAAGGAATATGCTCTTTTCTTGAAGGTTATGTTGTCGTATCGGTTCGACTACTTCTTAACTTCTTTAACTATTTAAAACTGCAACAATTTTTAATATTTTACACCGCACTTTTGTGTCCACCATACTTGTATGGGCCAAAGTTGGACTGGGAGATAATACTATAAACCTTTAAGTCCGCCTTTTGTCAATAAAGAATAAATTAATAAAAATAAATAAATAAATTGTTTTTAAAATGATGCACAATTTATTTCTACATACAAATTAATTCATTTTAAGACTTTTTTTTTAATGTAAAAACAGAATTTATATAAATTCTTATATTATTACCCACTCATTTATATACGTAGAAATATGCAAATATATACAGACAGGACAACGACTGTCGGGTTTTACTAGTTAGAGGGGTCATCCATAAATTATATCACTCAAATTTCATGTTTTTTGACCCCCTCCCCTGTCCTTGTCCATAATTAGTTACATTTGTGTCATCATATATTTAGCAATTTTACACACACACACACATATATATATATATATATATATATAGTAAATTATGTATTTTAAATTTAAACAGTAGTTCGAAAATAGATTTATTTACATTTACAGATAGAATTGAAAATCATTTAAAGATTTTTTTTTTAAGTTAAAATATCGATATAGATTTTCAAATGCGATGTCAATGAAACTTATGACATCATTATGACACACGTGTCATAAATCATGTCATGAGTGTGAATGAGTCATGAATGTGACAATTTACACAATGTCACACTTCGTCGATCTCCTTCCCTCCATTTAAAGTTGTTACATATTTTATGAATGATCATTTATACCTTCTATACTAATTTATAAAGAGAACAAATTTGTTATATTTAGTATGTTTGTTTATTTATAATGGATAAACTCAAAAACTACTCAGTCGATTTAAAAAATTCTTCCATCTATAGAAAGCTGCATTATTAGCGACTGGCATTGGCTATAAATTATTAAGAAAAATAGATAACCTTACGTAAATTACAACAAAATAAATATTATATATGCGAAGTATCAAAATATAGCTTATCGAAGCTTATATAAAATACGTATTTATTTTTCTATCTATTTACCTGTGTGAAGTCGGGGCAAATCACTAGTATTACAATAAAATATACCCCCCCTAAAGTTGATAGTATAATTTCTCCTCACTATAGTTTAAGGACGAACAATTCCCCTTCAAAATTATGGTTATAATTTTATATCCCAATGTCCAATAATCCATTTACTTCAACGCCCGCAGTTGAGAGCACCTGCAAAACTGATCTGAGAAGTAATACAACATCTTATACTTGAAATTAATAGAAATTTCGCCGTAAACGACTTCCCTCGCTTTATCCCTCAAAATTCCAGTCACTTTTAATGGCCGCTCTAATAGGTGCTATTATAACTTTATCCTGCACTAATTACTGTTGGCAACTTCTACAATCATTGTATTGTTTTTGTAACTATAACGTCCATTTGTAATTCAGAAGGTGAGTGGCAAAAGGAATGACGGATAATTAAGTTTTATACGGACATTTGCTTTTAGATAAAGAATATCGTAATGAGAGAGACAAAAAATCCGATTGTGATTAATGACTTCTCGGGATTTTCTCTTTCGTGATAATTTTATTTATTTACTTCTTTATTATACCATGACACGTGACCACACCATTCTGATAGAATACGGAAACATGATCTATGTATACGATCAACCGAAACGACAACGTTGCACTCTCAATGTTTGGCCGTCTTATGCTGGCTCGCTAAGTGCTTTATTATTATTTATTTACTATCTTTTACCCGCGACTTCGTTCGCGTGACTGGAATAAAATGTAGCTTATGGCCCTTCTCAATCTCATATAGTAATATAATACCTATATACCAAGTTTCATATCATTGGTTAAACTTCTTAAAAATTGCTACGAGGTAACAAACAAACTCATTTGTTCACATTTATAATATTACCTATCTATATGTCTTCACGCCAAGTCCCTTAAAGTATAGGCAGAAGACTGAATGCTAAAGACTCCTATCCTTACGCATACCTCTTGCTTCTTGCACTTTCATTCCTGCACTCTCATCCATGGTCGCTAATTCCGGAGACTCTTGACTCCTCCTTTAAGTTAAAACACGATCTATCATATCATAATAGGTTAACAACATTGAAATTAATAAGGATTTATTTTATTCATTTGTGAAGCAAAATGATAATTATCGCGCAGCATGTGCTTGTGAATACATGTTATTGTATTCTAAATGCAAATATTTTAAATTAAATAGATCTGTGTAACATCTTGTCGTTTATGAATATGTTTTATTAATTTTAAAATTAGAATAATAAAAATGACATTAGTAATTATTATTTCTTAGACGTTTATTAGAATACTGAAAAATGGAATTTAAAAACAATATGTATATAAAAATTTAAAGGCTATACAAGCTGCCAGTACGTCAGCAACAGTAATCAATATTAATGTTATACTTAATATTATTTGTACTTAATTAACGACTTCTTATCACAAATATTTATTTATTTGAACAAGTCAATATTTCGACCCTGTTGCGAAAGCCGCTAATTATATATAATATATATAAAATCAACCGTGAAAATATAAAAAGTCAATCTAGTTTTGTTACGATTAAAATAAAAAATAAAAATAGTAACAAATCTAATAATTCTATCAGTTCATTTATTTTTTATTTATAATACTACTAATTGGAGATCAGCAGATTCTTATTGTTGGATCGATTAATTATCTGTTTATTTTTTCATTAATTTCTATTAAAAATAAACTATATTTATATTTTGACTTGACGCGAACACTTAATACTATTTAGAAGGCTTGATCAAGCAAAGGTAATTTGGGTACTCAATTTAAATATGAAACCTCAAGTCTACGAGCTTGAATCAAGCCTCTTGGCTGTCTACAGAACTTTTGAGTAAACATAGTACTAGATTCACTAGCAAATGAAGCTGTTTACTATATTCTTTCTATGAACGGTACGAGTAAACCCTTTCTTTATCATAAGCATATATAACGGAACGCGTTAAACCTTATTACACTCTATAATAAAGAAAAAAAAAACATATTGAAAAAAGTGCGCCATTTCCACCCCGGGCGTATCTAGCCGAGCGATTGCAGCGCCATCGCCATTTTCGTCCGCAGTCGCAGATAAATCGCGTCGGTATCACACGCGCCCGCCTGCCGTACGCCGGTACGGGCTGAAAAAAAATATAACATCGATTTTTGAACGTGTACATACTGTGACGTGACTGTGTGACTTATGTGTGTGTGTGATTGATATTAAAATAGTGATGTGACACAAATTTTAAATTTGGAATTTCTTCATGTAAGTTGACATTATTTTTTATTAGGTTCCAATATTAAAATTTTTTTGGATTTTTTTTTCCGCTTTATAATAAAAATTCAAATGTTTTTTCTTGGTGAGCGTGTGATAAATAGGTGCTATTAAATGTTTCGGTCGTTCTAATGGGAGAGGTTTGCTGTGCAATTACTGTTATTAAAACTTTTAATACCGACTGTAAGCCGTATTATTACTGTCATAAAGTATGCGATGTGTGTTTTCAATGAACAATCAGTGACCGGTGAACAGCGGTGGCGTGAAATTAAATAAAATTGTGATGAATTACCTTATTACCGCCACGCGATGAAGTTTTTATTTTTGTATCGTGATTATTGGCCGTTGATATTAATTTAGTTTTACTTTACACTTATATGTTTAATTAGTTCTTGTTAATTTTGATAAGTTTGAATAATTATAGAATTTGAAATAAAATAATAATAGTAATTAAACAAAAATGTTTTAAGTATTCCACTATTTTATTTTCGTTTTAATTAAAATTACATATTTCGGCTTATGACACTTTCAACAATTTCACGGTTTGAATTTTAATTTTTAAAATTAATTAGTTTAAAAACATAATTTAAAGAACATTTAAAGAAAAATAAACTTTGTAATTAAATTCGAACTTGAATGATTTTTATTTTAAATTTATTTTTATTTTAATTAAGCTGACATATTTTTTTCTTCGTCATATAACAATTTCGGAAAAATTTAAGGACTTAAATATGAACATAGAAAGAACGTCAAAAGGCGAAAACGCTGCCGATGTTCTATCAAAATTATTAAAAACTCAAAAATACACCAAATGACAACAATGGACACTATCAATACATATTTTATTTATTGTATAGAAAAAATTATATTAATGGAAAAGAAATATATTTATTTATATTAATGGAAAAGAAAAATTTATAGACATTTATGGAATATTTAATAAATATTTGTACACATTTTTTTAATTATCACAACGTAACTTTCTTAAGATATTTTTTTTATTTTGACATTTAAATATTATTGAATAATATCTAAATAAGTACGTATATATAAATATAAATACAAATCCGGTTTTCCAATATTTATTCACGCTGATCTCCGAAATCGCTCGACCGATTTTAATGGAATTTTGCTAATGTATATTGTTTGTTGCAATTTGAGAGATAGAATAGTTTTCATCCCGATAACTGACCCTCGATATAATTAACCCGGTATGAGGGTAAGAGGGGGTAAAACAACATTTGCTGGTTCAGCTATTTAGAATACCCTACCCATAAACTGTACCCTACCTATTATTTATGCCTTCTAATTATATGTCAAGTCATTGTAGATAACAAAGGATTAGATTCTAAATTCTTTTATTTTTTATATGTTATGCCTAGTCTAAAAACTTTTTTATGCTACTTAGAATAGCAAACAAGCTGACGGCCCACCTGATGGCAAGTGGTAACCGTCGCCTATACACACGACCATGGGGGGTAGAGATATAATATGTACTATTAGTCCATATATATGTATTATTAGATAATAATGTGGAATATTAGTTCCATTGCTAGCAATATACCCTATCAGGTCGACCTCCACGTGGTTCCGCCTGGAAACCATCAAGGTGAATTCTAGATGTATTCATCACGATGGGCTAACTGACCTGCCTTTTCATCCTCACCTATCATCCCTCACTGGTGCCCCGTCAGCGTATACCGTTAGCGCAGGCGGGGTTACCATTCCATTATCATCCATTAAAAAAAATATATATACACACGAACAATATCACGGACATAACAGAGTATACTATGTCGCCCATATATTTCATGCGTTGCCATTCCCGAGGGCTTTGTAATATATCAACTTACGTACTTAAATATAGCTATGTACGTAAACTTTTTGTTACAGAGTGAGAATTACAGCAAATGTCATTCACACAAAAAAATACATACTTCAATGATGTGTATGTGTGTGTGTATTGTATGTGTGTATGTAATGTCATTGTCTATTTCTAATAAAAGTTTGTTTCTTTTTTCGAACAATTTAAAATCTTATTTTTTCAAATAATATGTGTTTCGGTTTAGATATGGCAATGAATTTACTGGGTACAGAAGAATAACACCTGAGTCCTCAGGAATGGCAACGCATGGGAGGTATCATGGGCGAAACAGTACTTGTTATGTCCATGGAACTGCTCATGTCAATAGGCGACGGTTACCACTTTCCATCAGGTGGGCCGTCAGCTTATTTGCCATTCTATGTTGTATAAAAAAATATATTATATTTTTTTTACAAATAAATAAATAACACGGAATCTATTTATCATAAAGTGATAGCCAGTTCTGATATAATTTTGATATTTCGTATATTTATAAACGTTAGCATTATGTTCCGTGTTTGTGAAATAAATAATAATATGAATTTAATATAATAGTTAATTACAGGCTTAAGCTTTTATTAATTATTATTAATATGGTTAGTTTTTTTTCTTTTTTTTTGATTGGTGAAAATGGTATGGTAACCCCGCCTGCGCTAACGGGATACGCTGGCGGAGCACCAGTGAAGGGTGATAGATGAGAATGAAAACAGGCCAGTTAGCCCATCATGATGAATTCATTAGGAAATAACCATGATAGTTTCCAGGGGACCGCGAGCTCGACCTGGCTGGGTATATTGCTAGCAATGGGATTCTCAGTCTCCATTACTAACAATCCCTTTCCTCCCTATGGTTGGCTGTTAACTCATCTTAATTAATAGTCATTATTTAATTTATCGTTAAAATAATTCGTTTTTTATTTTAACCACGACGGTTTCCAGGCGGAACCGCGTGGAGGTCGACCTGATAGGGTGTATTGCCAGCAATGAGTCAATTAGATCCCATTACTAACAATTCCTTTCCCCCCAAATAATAATCGGAGTTCGTCGTGTCAGCCTTTAACTGTCCACTGCTGAACTTAAGCCTCCCCCTTGGTGGGTTTTACCAGTAGTTGCCACGTTTGGCAGGCCAGAAAAAGGCATATGAGTACATTAAAAACAGCTGGCCTTATTTTTATATAAAGTTAGCATCGTCAAAACTTGAAGAGTTTATTGCGAAGTAAAATGGAATGAAATAGAAATATGGTAGTTTTTTATTTAGGTATTATGTTTTGTTACATTCAACCGGAATGGTTTGCCTGAGGTCACCTACGATACAATAATATTGGTGAATGGAACAAAATACAAGAATAATGTGTTAAAATCTTTTACTTTATTTGCTTTATTTATTTGGAACGGTCAATTTGAAGGAACGGATAAAAAAAAAATAGAAATTAATTGGAGAAAAGATTCAGAAAATTGAGTGAAGTGGTATAAGTGTACGAGTTTTACCATAAAAGTTTGTGCCAAAAAGTTGAACCATTAAATATCACTTTTGTGGTATAAAAAAATTGGTATTTTACGGTTCAACATAAATGTAACTTGACAATGTGTTAATTAAATCATGCTGTATATTTTCCAAAACATAAAAAAAAATTATTGTATTGTATTGTCAAATCTTTATTGTATAATTCACATTGAATACTGATAAATGATTTAATATACAATGGCGGACTTATCCCATAAAGGGATCTCTTACAGTCAACCTTTGAGAAGCTGAAAGAAAACTGTAGAATGTATAAGGGTAATAACCATACAATTAAATATAAACTAAATAATACCCAGTAAAAAAATATAAAAACAACTCTATATACCTACGTATATAAATAATAAAAGTACATGAATAATAATATAACATTAATACATAAATAAATATTGTTTTTTTAAGAAAGATACAATTGGAAGTTTATTGTTTTTTATATATCATTGAGATGGCAAACAAGCATACGGCTCAGTTGATGGTAAATAGTTACCGTAGCCTATGAACGCCTGCAATACCTACGCGCGCGTTGCCGACTTAAAGAAACCTCTTTACAAATTAGCAAGTAATTTACAATAAATCTAAGTTGAAGTACTTTTGTCGTCCACGTCTATCTAAGTCTATGACAATAACTCGTTCTTCAAAACCGAAATTCAGTAATCTTTTATTTATTTCTTTTTTTATTAACCGTCACTTTTCCTTTTGTCTACGATTATTTATTTTCAGTTGGCGATATTTCGGCACATTTTCCGAACGGCGCGGCGCCATTGTGGGATGGCTTTTTCCATGACGTTTTTCCTTTTTTCTTATTACTTTGGGTACTTCAAGTGTAGCGTGAAACAGCACTTGGTGAACCGTCATAGTCCGGACAACAGTCGAGGGAAGAATTTCCCCTCTTCAGTTGTTCGAATTCATGACCCGTGTTATCTCCGTACTTGCTGAGAGATTCGTGGTCACATGTCGACCTATTTAACGTAAACAACTGCATGTATCTCTAAAAAAAAAAACTATAAAAGAAAAATGCGTTCTTAAAAAAAACAACTTCAAATGTGGTAATACATGTTATTTTGGTTTTAAACCTAAACTACTGAATCGATTTTAATAAAACATTCATGGGACCAATCTTGTAAGTAAATCCTTTCAGGTAACAAACGATTTTTTTTTTAAATCGGTTTAGAACTGCCAGAGATATGAGGTAACAATTACAAGAAATATAAAAATCACAATTACCAGATGGAGACTTTGTGCAAAAGTTGATTGCTTGGGTACCTCTGTCCCATTCGTATTTCTACCGTGAAGCAGTTGTGTTTGCATAGTTGTGTTTTGGTTTGAAGAGTGGGATATGGTGTGAATTCACAGGGTACACAGGAATAACATCTGCGTCCTCAGGAATGGCAACGCATGGGGGATATCATGGGCGAAACAGTATACAGTATACTCTGTTATGTCCATGGTACTGCTTATGTCTATAGGCGACGGTTACCACTTTCCATCAGGTGGGCTGTCAGCTTGTTTGCCATTCTAAGTTGTATAAAAAAAAATCAATCGAATTGAGAACCTTTTTTGAAGTCGATTGAAAAAACAAACTTCTTTTATGACACCCACAGGAAAA